ACGAGGATATCGATCCATGATACGAACAAGATCCATAGCGAACGCGGATGTTCGCGATGCATTTCAATGAGCTAAGAGGGTGGAATTATTTAAAATGAAACGACGTCGTCGTGATATTAACAAAGTTCTTGGCGTATCGTGGAAAAATAATTAAGATCTTCCTCTTCTTTCGTTGCTTGTGTCGCTGATGAGTCTTCGCGGAGCTTATTATTAGCAGATTAAAAAAAAGAAACGTTCGATGACGAAACGGTAACCTCGTTAAAGACACGTCAGTCTCGTCACGCAGCTTCGATAATTTTCGCGCGGATAATAAACGCGTTGCCCTCGAAATTGCCAATCGTTTTTGTCGTCGAACTATTAGAGCCACTGTTTTCTCTAATTCTGATGGCGAATTAATTTTTAACGAGTTTCATATTCACGGGCAAATAAGCGTTTCAACTTTCAACTGCGTGCTCCAGTGTTTTTACACCAGACGATTTCTAGAGTTCTAATTACGGAATTCTCGCGTCTTATTTTTATATTGCGAGTGTCAGACACCATGGACGGGTTAATTTCAAATGGAAACGTTTATCAGAAGTACGTATTTGCAGGAAAGTGGTACTCGCGTTAAATTAATCGAAACTGTTCGAGCAGTTCACGGGAAAGAACGTCTTGGCGGTGTGTAAGAACTTGAGGAGCTCTGAAATGTTTTATTGCACGGCTACAAATATCTCGAATACCTGTGTCTCTCTACTTTCGATCACGGTTAAAAAGTTTCTAAAAAAGTCTGACAAATTTACTATTCGCCCTAGAAAACGTGCGTCTAATTTCTTCAACTAGATTATCCTTGGCTTGAAAAATGAAAATTTGAGATACAAAGATGAGATACAAAGCGTTTCATTGGGAATATAAATTTCACAATGTAAACAAAGTTAGCACTCGCTTCAGATAACATAAGTTTGCTCTTAATGCGGTGAAGTTGCCTCTCGAAGTGGAACAATGTGCAGTAATTCTGAATTTGAAGAAATCTCATTAGCGATACAATCGGCGGTAGCATCTTCGATATTTCGCATAAATTCTGTTACAAAGCTTGCTTAAGCTTCGACAAACCTACGATTCATCCCTTGAACAGTTTATTAAGATTCTCGTAACTTGATATGTAAATAAGGCTTTGGTCGATAATCACAGGAAAAAGAAGAAAAAGGAAAGACGGGGGAAGAATCGATTTCCATACTCTGCAACCCTAATAGGTTGGAGCAACGCGAGACCAAGAATCTTCCCCAAAAGCTCACCTGATCCACGTCAACCATGGCCACAAAAAAACGGCAAAAAATCCAAGGGAAAAAATGTTCGTTCCATCTTAACGACCCCTCGGGCCGAACCGCGGCCGCAGATTACGCTAAATGATCCCGTTGCTCGTTCTGGGGGCGAAATGAGGAAAACGAGCAGAGAGGGAGGAAGCTGAGGCCGAACGAAAGAGCCACCTAGTGTATAGTGTGCATAGGTGCGAGAGTGAAGTGCGGCGAACCGAAAAAAAGTGGAAACGGGAGAAAATACGAAAAGAAGAAAAGGAAAGAGGATGCAAGGTAGAGGAAGAGAGATAGGGAAAAGGGGCAAGAGAAGGAAAATAGAAGAGGGAAGAGATGGTAGACAAGGCCGTCTCTAATGAGAACTCGAGCGATTTTCCATCGGTTTTTCCAAGCGGACGAAGGTCGCGGCCGAACCACGGAAAATGAGGAAATGTCCTCTCTGTTTCTGTTCACTTTCTGTTCACTGCTTTCCTCCCTTTGATTACAGGTATTTAAAGGCGGACGCACACGTACTTTTAGAAAACTCCTATTTGAAACGTATCACGCGAATTATATAAAATGTTTCGAAATTTCGTCGCCACTGGACTGCGCATTTCTATGTAAATTCATATTTTTCAGCATATAATTAAAAAATGTAGAACCTCGTATTATACTCGAAGATGGTATCCCGCTGGGGGTAGCCGTCCACGTATTATTTAGCAATAAAGTTACAAAAATTTACGAAATGTCCAACTGGGCAAATTGTAAGGTACAAATTAAACAAATAAAAAAGAACAAAGAATCTTCGTATTCTGTGTACTCTGTGTAATTTTGCTCTGTCAAATTTCCTACAAACGAACAAAGGCTCATAGTCTAGTTATCGCTGTGGCGAAATGAAACACGGCTGTCGTGATTACGTTGCTAAAATTTTAAGTCGTCCACTGCGAACGTTATATTTAATAAACATGTAGTACAGAGCGCGAAGTATCGTTTAAAACATGAAACATAAGTGGTAAAATCTTCCTGAATATCGACGCTTATTGATATAATATAATATTATACGTCGCGCCTCCCATATACAGTTCCAGATGTATTTCAGTATAAATATAGATAGTCGAGTCTTATTACTATGCTGCTGAATGTTTATGCAAATTCATATCTTCATGAAAATGATGAAGCAAATGGAGCATAGCTAGAAATTTGTTTCACCTGCTAAATGTTACAACGTGCATTTCTACTTTGTGCATATTTCATATGATTCTTCGTATCGAGTGGATCTTCCACTTTTTGTATCTTTAAATTTATGTAACATAAATGCACGAACATCCGCAGTCTATCTATTGGGTTGGCAACTAATTACCACTTAATGACAAAATCCGCAATCACTTAGTTGACAAGCCAATATATGTAAGTCTATGTATATGTAACATCGTTACAGTGCCAACGAAATTTCAAAATGTTTCGTATAAGACGCGTAATATAATTCGCAAAATGTCTACAAGTGTCTGAACGGTCTGGCGAGATACTGTAGAGAGACAGAGGATCCTCTTCTGGGTAACTAACGACCGTGTCGGAGGCAGAGGGATGAAACCGGAGGAAGAAAAATGAAGAAGGAGAGAGAGAGAGGAGGGTTTTAGGGAGAAATAATGAGTCAGAGCGTTGTTATTATTACGTACGTGTTGTTGGTCCGGGTTCAACGTGTCTGCCAAGTATTGTTTCCTTTTTCGAGCTGGCTGCATGGCTCAAGGACAGCGCCAGACAATGGATCGAGCTGTTCGATTCGAGCCAGTTCTCTTTTCCATTTACCGCGTGCATTCTATTCCGTCCAACTCTCCAGTATAATTTATTTCATTTCAACGTTTTAATAATAATTTTAATGATTTCAATGTGGCCAAAGATCGCCAAGTGTGTGACAATTTGTCGAACAAAGGGTGGGATTTGCTTGAACGAAGAACGAAGAATTATCTCGTTAACACTTGCTGCTAATAGCAATCTCACTTTTCTCAAAATTTCTCTAAAATTTCGTTTGAAGATTCTCCTTTAACTTTAGCTCCAACAGCGATATACAGGGTGGTTGGTAAGTGGTGGTACAAGCGGAAAGGGGGTGATTCTACGCGAAAGAAGAAATCGAAAATATATAATAACAATTTCTTTTTTTTTTTTAATTTTTCCATCGAGACAACGATCTACAGTGAGACCCGTTATAACGAGACGCGATAAAGTGCACGCGTAACGAGCGAAAATTCAAAGTCGATTTTCTCGAAAACAAAGTCTCAAACGAAAAATGTTTATTCTATATTTTCGACTTCTTTTTTCGCGTAGAATCATCCCCTTTCCGCTTGTACCACCATTTACTAACCACCCTGTATATCCATTACAAGAAATAAATAATGGTACTTGTGACAGTGAAGAGAATGGTAAATTTATCAAACACAACTGCCAGCTGCTATAAAACACTATACATTTGAAACATTAAGTAAGCTCGAGCTTTTGAATAAATTAATTATGAAGTTTTAAACGCGTTTGAATTAATAATTACAATGGCTTTCAAAGTACTTTGTTCTTCTTACGTTTACAACAGGAATAAAAGTTTCATAATAATTGAAAATCATCCGTTTAACTAGAAAATACACTTAGCATCTATATTTACCATACACCTTCTTATCTGGTTATTTATGGCAGACAAATAGGTGCAAGTGGAAGCACGATCGTCAAACGGATCTTAAGGAAGGCGACAAATCCCAGATAAGACAGTTACACGTAGAGGATTAAATTGAAAAACCATTTGAAATGGCGTCGAAGAGACACGGGGAACCGATAGAGCACCTAGTCACCGAGTATCTTATAGGCAAATTTCTAATCGTCGGAACATATCTTATATAAATGAGCATTTCTACTGCTAACATGACGTAAAACAGGCAAAAAGTATGTAAGAATCGAAGCAACGAATATGCATGCACCGAATCGAACGAGTCATCACGCTCGAGTTGAGAAGTATTCATTTTTCTCACGTAAATATTTCTAGAATGATCGAATAATGACCGAGTGGCGCGTATACGTACAACGTTGTCAGACAAAAGAGCCCACGTACTGCCAATAATATGCAATTTCTTGTCTTCTAATTGATATGACTTATTACGCAACTGACACGTTTCGAGCTGATCGGATCGAGCAAATTTAAGAAGCCGCGTTCCTTCACCGCGAAATACATTCTCTCTGTTACACATTATTTATTTAGGCGATTTAGGCCAGAAACTTACCAGCGATACTGTTTCTATCGTGTAATAAGTATACCGAACGATTCTCGAATATTCAAACGCGTCTTCGACGATCTTTAGTCAATTCGAACGATGGCGCTTGTTACGATCTATTGAGAAATGTATAATTTTGTGTGCTAGACTAGATTAGCCGCGCAGTAGTAACACACGTATGTGAATACGATTGTATGGAAGTATGCGTGTGCTCAACGTCTCGAAAAACAAATGAATGTAACTGTTCCGTTGGCAATGCGATATGGAAGATGATGAGACGAAAAGAGTGCCGAGATGCGTGCAAATGTATATCGACGAAGATCCTGGAAATCGTTTATTGAATAAATCTAAAACTATTTTAATATGAATCCTAAGTGCAACCTTAGTGTTCCTTTACTTTTATTTCGTCGATTAAGATCCACAATTCTCAACACGATCATAAATCCGAACGTAAGTTAAATTTCTTACCACTCTTTATGACAGCTTGATGTATTGTAGTAAACGTGAAAGGTAATATATATACAGGGTGGACGATATATAACTAATTTCCAACTGCCGCCATACTGAAACGATGCGTCCATCGTGTCCTGTTCCGCTTCAGCGATTGTTTTATCGAAGAATGTGAAATAATCGTGGAGCGTTGCACAGTTGAGGAACGAGTGAAAATTATTCAAACATTTGATCGAAGTAATTCTTCGACTGGCAATGACTTTAAGCAAGTTACGTTGACGATATCATCCGACCTGATAGATCGACCGATTTGACTTTACCGAATTTCCTCTCGTCGGCTTTTCTTTTAACCCTGACCTTCCCTCATTTTCATAAATTAGTGGGTCGTATCAAGTGGACATTACAATGGTAAAACATCAATGAGATGAAAAAGAAAAAAGACAAATTATTAATTTTGCTCTTTGTCGCGCTAGTTCTACAATATACAAAAGTAAACAAATTTTGTAAAAATTCTTTCAAAAATGGTAGAACAATAATATATAATCTTTGGCCTTGAAAAGCGTGTCAAATTGACATGGGGGATGGCTAAGGGTTAAAAGTAAAAAGTATGTCGATAAAGCAAACGTATGAAAATGCAATGAAAAATGCGATTGACAGAGTTCGACTTTGTGCAGCGTCGGAAGGCAAACATCTTTCTGATATTATATGTTTCATTTGCAGAAGCTACTCCTTCATCCTGATACATTGGCCAAGGGATTATTTGAAGAAACAAACAGATATACGTAGACTTAAGAGATTCAAAGCATTGGGTGCAAAAGACAAATTTTAAGTGATTCTTAGATAAGAGAAGACAGCTCAGAGAAGACAGGTACCTTATCTATCAAATTTGTACACGTTAGTTTCTTCCGCAACGACAAACGCTTGGTGTTATTTTATAGTAAATTGCACTTACAATTAGCCAAAAAAAAAATCCATAAATAATTTCCACGTACTAATAGATATCTTGTATTAGCAGGACTATTGTTTTTATTTCGTTTGAAAGTTATTATATCGTCCAACCTGTGCAATATATCAATTTTTCAGTCATTAATTAGAAGGAAAATCATACGTCCAGTCGTTAAAGGATACGATTCTCTTGTTTTGGATAAATGCTGGATATTTTAATTACATTGGTTTCTTACCAAAGTACGTATAAAGTTGCGAAAACGTATCCAAAAATTCAACTCTCCATACATACGTAACCCCAAAAATTCAGCCATTCCGAAAGATATCGTAAAATTTCAACTACCGAGTAAGTACTAAAAGTTCTACTAAAATCTTCATCTACGTAGTACGGAAACGTCTTCAAAGTAGGATCATCAAGCGCGTTAGTTAATCAGCGGAAGCGTGACAAACGCACAATCGCAACACAGCAATACGTAGTAGCACAGCGATGCGCGTACACGTGCAACATGTTCAAAGCATAAATGTAAACGGATCGCCTAACCGTGATTAGATATGCAGCCAGGTACACGTGTATATAAGCAAATGAGCTGTACGATGCACAGTATGAAATCGTGGTAAAACAGAGGCAGTGCGCGTGTCTTATCTAGCGACCTCAACTTCCGCACCTTTTCACCATTTTCTACCCCTTTGCTAATTACGCGACCCAACGAAAGTTCAAAGAACCATCCGCCGTCGTCTTTTATACCACGTACCTTTTTTTCCTTCTTTTTCTCCTCTTACGTATTCTTCTCTCTTTGATAATCGGATTTTTTTTTTGCGGAAACACCCTCGCGAGACGATTCGAAAAGACACGCGGAATATGACGACGATGAAATCGCATTGATGGTATTCGACGATAAAAGTTAGTTACGCAACGCTTCTCACTCCCCTCTCACGGAAATATCGTCTGTCGGAAATAGATTCAAGTACATGGACATCGATGGTTGGCTTGGAATTATGCATCGACTCAGTTCGTCAAGGTTGCTGGATCACGACCGCGGTTTCGCGCGTGGGGCGTTTGAACTATTCGCGCCTCCTTCCATTTCTGCGTCTCGAAATACTTTCTGAACTTGTGCGCGCATTTTCCATGAAAATGATTTCTATTACGTTTCCTACAGTGCATAGGGGTTCATGGCGTGATAGATAAAAGCTTGACGTGATTTTCTTAGTACCGTTAAAATGACATTTCATCGTATCCTCTTCCATCTTTCACGAATTTCAATTTATTCTAGCTGTTAATCGTGTTTCTGTAGGATATATTGGGTTGTCCGAAACGTTTCTTTCGTTTCATAAGGTGATAATAGATGAACAACAATTTTTGTTTTATATTATTTTATCAAATTAGAAGCAATATATTATTATTTATTGAATTTATGATCCATTTCGTTATATTTCTATTATTATGTTCGTGCATAATTCAATAAACTAATATAAAACAAAAAACATTGTGCGTGTATTATTTCCTTATAAAACGAAAGAAACTTTTCTGACCTAATATATGGCACGTACGTAATAGAATAAAAAACTTGATACGCATATCGGTAAATTTGCATACACATCGCTCCAAATGAGGCAACCATCGACGTTTCGAATTCTCACATTTTACATATTTCAAACTACGAACTTTGCAATCTAGCTTCGACTGACGACTTTAAACCTTAGCAACTAAAGCTCTCTCAACGATAGAATCTTTTACGTTTGAAACGCAACTACTCCATTTTCCTCTACTACACGTTGGAACGATGGAAACGAGGAGGCAAAAGAAAAGAATGCAGAAGCCGTTCGAACGTTCGCCAAAGAAGATAACATAACCCAGATTACTTTATCATGTTAAGCGATGACAGCGTCCATAGGTGTGTGAAGTCGGACAGAAAGTCGACGCGTTGACCAACGCGAATAGGGTTGAAGTGGTAGTGATAATGGCCGCCCGTTGATGATATACAATACAAGCAACCACGTCGTTTGCCTACGCGGCGATCAACATAAATCGCGAGAAACGCTTTCAGCGTGAAAAATAGCTCGCCTTTTGATCGATCCCTATCGCGTCAGACTGTGCCATTCGATTTCTACATGCACGCGCGTGTCCACTTTATTATACATGTAAAAGTTGAAGTAATAAATATTTCATTATTACCATTAATGTTTCATTAATAAGTATTCATGAATATTTATTAATGGATAAACGTAATACTTTTTATTCCCCAGCTATTTTATTCTATTCTGTTACTAATTTAATTATGTATATATTAATTTATTTCTATCATATGTGCCTTCATCTGGTATTCTACATATGCAAATGTATGCTTCTGACAGTAAAAGTTGGAACTTCAATGTTTCTACGATAAATACACTTGTACCTACGTACACTTCGTACGTACACCAGCCGCGAGATATTTGCTACGAGTCGATATTTTTCAATGTTTTTATTTTCTAGTCATTTCATTTTAAAACCATTATTTTATTTGTTGTATGTGTCTTTATTTAGTATTTTACCTTATAAATATGTGTTTACAAGCAATGAACGAATTTTCAATTTTCACTGGAAGCGTACGTTTTTGAACTTGGTTTATTCGAAGCACTATACTGAAACGAAAACAGAGCAATTTAAACGTACGTATGTATGTGCAACTATAAGCATAAAACGAACACCTCATGTTTCGAATAGATACCTATAATAGCAAAAATACCACGTGTAAATTAATAATTTGCATAAATTTATCAAATGAGACGTTATTAAGTTTTTCATCCATTTTTTAGATCTATATTTAAAAAGTAGGCATTTAACATGACGCTTTTAATACCGAATGTGTTGCAACAAATGTATGCAACGTCTGATAAATGAATACATTTATTAAATATAGTAGACACTTTATGTGTGCTTCGTTTCTCTATGGTCTTACGGCAGCAACATTGATCACTAGTCAAACTTATCACATATTAAGCTTTCAATGTAACACGTATCATGTATCATGTGCCATGATAATATCATAATTTATCTATGAGCGAAGAAGTAAAGTAGATCTTCTCCCAACAAAATACTTCTCCCGACGATGAGTAATATGATACATTAACATTTTTGTGTTAAAAACTTGAATTAATAAAATTGAAATAAAAAATTAAAATAGTAAATAAAAATCGATAGAAAAAAGATATTTCCTTTCATAGTATAGTAGGATAGTTGTTTATACCAAAATTCAACGATGCACGGTTTAAAATTAACATGGCAGCATGATCTTCAATCCAGCAAACTGACCTGCCAGATCTCATTTCGCAACACGTTTATGGCGCCACGAGATTATAGAAGCTATTTCAAAAGCGTCTAACATTTCATATAATAAGAAAAAGGTGTAATGGTCTGTGTAAAGAACACCTTTGGTTCTTCGAGATAACATTTCTTCTCTAAAAAATCGTAACAATAAAATCAAAAAATTCTTTATAAATCTATTAAATATCCTGTAGGTACAGATTCGACGTCTGTGATGCCCTTGAAATCACGATAATCTCAAACATTTTGTCCCGAAACAATTTTTTCGATAAAATTAAAATCATACAAATAGTACAACTTAAGGTTTTAGAAATTGTTTATGAAATAGTTCGGAGAAAAAGCCAAGTTCCTCTTTTCGTATGCAAACTTATATAACGGGCTTAACCATAACCATCGAAAATTCAAAGTGTTCCGCGTAACATCTTTAGAAATCGTCGAACTATTTTAAGAGACCAGCAAAAACTACTGAAATCCAGATAAACATTTTCAACGCTGCAAGAAATCGCTGTTTTATCATAAGAGCGTTGTCAGTTGCGCGCGCGTTAAATGAAGCGAAATGACTCCCGTCTAACCTCGAAAAATTCAGCTGTGCGTCTATCGATGACAGTCAAACATTTGTCTCTTTCTCTATCCGCAACACTGAACTAAAATTTCGAGACTAGAGAAATTTTTTGCCACCCAAAGCGAATCAATAGTTGCGCAATTGTCCAACCACGAAGTACGCAATAAAGAAGAAAAATAAAAACTAACAACAGTATAATGCACCGAATAATACGACCAATCGTTTTGTGCGAGCACAAAAACGAATGGGCTGAGTTTCGTGTAACGTGACCAAATATCGACCGGTCGAGGCAACGAAGGGTCTCGACGTCTAAAGCGGAATAATACAATCCCAGAAACACGACAACAGCCTAGGAGAGAACAGTGAAATGGCTGGCAGAGTGCGCAGTGAACCGTTCCCTGAGTTCGCCTCCTTTGGTTCGCAAAGTGGCAAGCGTCAATTGATCTACAAGCCTCGGCAGAAATTTATGACCCGCCCCTTATCAAGAGAAACCATCGTTGGTCGTTAATCGCGCTATGCCGTAATTCACCTTCATCGCGGGTCAGATGCCACTACTGTGTCGTGCCAATAACACCTACACACGTTCTTCTATATACAGACCGTGCTCCTCAATTCTTGGTACAATTGAAATTAAGACGAAAATCAAGAGTAATAAAGTTACATTAGAGGCTCTATTTTCAAAAAAGATCTGAGAGAAAAACCAAATTTGCCTAGACTCAATTGGACAAGAATAGACAGGAGATTATTCTACATTCCATCATGTGAAAATATAGAATAAAGCATTTTCGTTTAAGGCCTCGCTTTTGAGAAAGTCAAAATGGCTTTACCCAGTAAGTTTATTTTTCTTAATAAGTTAGCATAATTAATAGCGAATTCTCTAAGGTACATTTTTAGAAAAAATGTTTGTAACGTCGTCTTTCTCTAATTTTTAATTTATGAAGTTGATCAATATGGATAACTTGTAAACGAGTCATAAATAAATATGTACATGTGCTTCCATTTGGTCCGCATATAGTTCGTTTAGGTCGCATATATTCATGAAAACGATATAGATATACGTGTCTCCGTATGTCCAAGTGGAGACGCGCGGGTATCCATAATTTACCGCTCGTTACACACAGCTACACGAATAATACGAGATAGTAGAACCCGTAATGTCTAAAGAACGATCAAAGTCTGTCTTTCGTGAACAAGAGAGTAGAAGCACGCTGTGGCTGAAGGCTGAAGGTACTTGTCGCGAGCAAGAGGCCCTCATTTGGCAGTCAAAGCGAGAGAATCTTTAAAACGTTAACTGGCAAGGTCACGACGTTTCAGGAAAACGATGGAGCATCATTATCTATATAGTTTCTATCTCTCTCCCTCTCCTACTCGTGTTCACGATCGAGGTATCAAAACAATAAATCCGACCAAAATAACGCGTTTACTCTTTGTTAGGGGAAATCACAATGGCCCGATAATGTCAACGAGAACGAAAGTAAAAAAGAACTAGAATAACATTCAAGTGCAAGGTTGTGGAGAACGTTTTCAAACCGTTACGGCGACTATTCTTCTTCGTTGAGGGACTCTCTCATACATGTGTGTATATAACAGACAATCGAACGCGGTTATGTTATATACATACTGCGTTAGAAGAGACGAGAGATCGATTGAACGTATTAATTATGAGACAATGACCACTTACATTTTCCCGTGATCTGCCATCCGGTCGATGATGTCAGTAGACCAGCACGTCGTTGCTTTCTCGAAACCGCTCAACGTAGCCCTCGTGTGTACAGCTTTGTGTGTTCGCACCTTGTTCGATAGTGCGGGAAACTACTACTGCTACCGGAACGGATTACGATGGCGTAAAACGCGGAAAAACTCCACGACTGATCACGAGGGAAGTTTAAGTATACGTGACAGCATAGAGCCGGCTTGATGCGAAAAAAAGTAACAGGAACGTAACCGCGTGCGCGACACCGATTGTTTCGTGATATTTCGTCGCCGTCTTCTGCTATCTCACTCTTCGCGGACCCCGAGTTTCCTATGTCGCGTGAAACAAACGACTACACCGCGATCGATTCACTGGCGACGCAAACGCCCAACACGCACGTCTCACGATGCAAAATACGCCAAGATTATCGTCGATTAACGATGACACTGCGCGAAAGAAGAAAGTTTTTCCGGTTAAAATGCAATTACAGACACTTCAGTACTCCCGGCCCAGACTGTCATCGATTGTTGACGAGCGTCTTGGCCGATCATGTCTGCTACCGGAGTAACTACAGCGCCATCTCGTGATATTTTCCACGAATCTCATGTGCGCAGAAATATCTGTAGATCGGTAAGAACGCTTCTTATATCGACAGCTCGAGCTTAGCACCTCTACTGGTGATTTGTGGTATTCGATTGTCGAGGTGGGATCTGCTTAGTCGATTGAGTATGATATTGACGTTTAAAATGAAAACTGAAAATGGTTTAGTGTCTTTTTTTTAGCAAAATATGTATGTACCATTTTCTTATGTCGTTAATGCATTTTTAAATACATTTGATTAAATATACTGTGATTGATTTTTTCAAAAAGTGAATAAGTTTTCTCTGATTCTTCTAAGGTAAGAAAATTTGTTTTATAAAATCTACTTCTACCTGATTTTCTTAAGAAGAAAGTAGGGTTATTCGATTGAATTTCGCAACAAATGATAAATGTATAAGACTTAATGTACCGTATCAAATTCGGGTTTTTAACCTATTGTATACTTTCACTATGTCATGAATAGGAGAAAATTATTAGTAATAACCGGGACATGACAAACATTTGATCGATTACATGCATGTGTAAGCCTAAATATCAAAGTCAGGCCGATATTATCGCGGCTGCTTTTAAATTTCACGTTTATCTGAGCAACTTAGAAAAATAGAAATCACAATGTAGCGCATGTTAAACTACTTCTTATCTCATAGCATTTACGCGTCAGTATCTTTCACAGGACTATTCATACACAAAGCAGTTTACCAAACATTTCCTGCATGCTTAAATCTTACTCATTCTTGATAGTGATATGACTAATTGCAATGATAATCATAACATACATATAACACGATCCGAAATCTCTTTTTCACTATTTTAAAACGATGCTTTGCCATATCATATAGAACTGCAAGTACGTACCTCGACTTTTGTCTTTCTTATTACTTACGATAAACAATTATTAATGCATTATTGTTTCCTTGAGGAATTGTATTGAATTGTAAATATCATTGAAAGAATGAAAAAATATGCATTATTGTAAGTTAACACGCAGTTATATCTATTCTTGTCGTGTAACCAATATATAGAATTCAATATTTAACCGCGAACAAAAATTCTCGTTTTCATTCCCTCAGTGAAGTTATGGCGCGAACAAAGCATTTTAAGGATGGGAATATTATTGCCGAGATTCTACTGTTTTGCATACAATAGTTTGTTAGGCTAGACAGCTCGGCGGGTATATACAAAAAGTCATGCACATTGTTTCTCTCTGTTCGCCGCGTATGAATACCAAAAGAGATTAACGAAATTTAAACTCGCCTTCTTAAAATTTATAATTCCGTGCTGGCGCCCGACTGTTTACGCCCACGCGTCGTTGCCTACAATGCTACGCGCACAAACACCGTCCGTCTGCCACTTTAAAAACTGTTGACCGCAGATGCACTAAATTGTTTCATTTAACGACCCAAGCAAAGGTTCAAACCTTTCGTTCGAAAGTTTAATATCTTATAGTCATGACCATTCTCAAATGTAAAAACCAATCAATTTAACATTTCGTCAATCGATCATGGATCAATTTTAATTAACATTAAATCGATATTAATATATATTAAAGCTTACATTTTATATCTGTTTACATAAACGAAATGAACATGATTTAGTTAATGCAATCATAACAACCTTGGGAATTTACATTTTTGTCGATGCTTCGAACGAAATCAGTTTCTCAGGCAAAAACAATGCCTTTGTTCCGTTTTTCTATCAGCTGCTGCATTGCCTTCCTTCTAGTCGTTAACCTTGGCAAGCACAAAAGAGGATAAATACCGAACTGCGATAGAATAATTTCAACTTTGACTTCCTGTCCGTTGCAGTAAGCTAGTAACAAAAACTGTTACGTACTCTCGGAAAACATTCGCCTCCTTGTTCTTATAACCTCAAAAAGGATACAAAACAACGATACTCTGCATATCTGCATACAGTTATTGCTATGAAAATCCGATTGATTGACATTATGCACACGTACTTATGTATGTAGCACGAAAGTTGCATATAATCGCTTTGTTTGCGCGGCCATCGTGCCAAATTTATTAACAGACGTGTTTATAGGCGCGCGACATGTATCCTCTTGTCCGGCGCGTTTTATCTCGAACGTTTGCAAACAGCGCAAGCGAACCGAAACGCACGTGCGTTTTGCAAGAGGCAACGGGAGCGGGTATTGACTCATTTCGTGCAACTTCCACGGCTATGCTTCGAACTTGCCAGCTGCGACCGAGAGCGGAGTCCAAACGTGCTCGATTCCTCAATCTCTAGTTGTATTGTTCGTAAATTGCCTGATCACATTTTCACGAGTTAAGCCTTTCCTTCTTTGTTTCAGAAAAGTTCGCGATGTCAGCAGTGACGTTATCTCAGGAGACTTTGTCTGTGTGTTTATGGAAAGAATACGCAGCGACTAACAAGCAAATGCACGTGTGACGACTCGATTTCGCTTTTGGCGTATTTCGTTGCAAGAACAGTGCTCGATACTCTGTACGCTATTAAATCTCTGAAGATTATACCTGATTGATAACTTATCGTTAATCGTCTATTCGTGAGTACATACAGCGTCTATTATCATGTCAAAATTGATGGATGAGAAAAATTAAGAAAAATTAGTCAATAAAATGTATTGATAGATCATGCACGTTAAATGAAACGGGCAAACAGAATAATAAAAGAAATGTTCTGAGTATGTGTTTTTAAATTCGCTGACTAGTAATCGCTATTATTAGTTCCTACCAAAATAGCTGCTTTTTTATCCGCGTTATATATCCAGATAAGATAAAGGAGAATATTTCAACCGTTTGTAACGGTGGAAAATCGCCTTGTCAATTTCTAATTGCGCATGTGTTAATATCAAGAACTCTTCACGATATATGCATATCTGGTACGACAGATGCGTTCTTCTCGTCGTTTTTACAAGGAAGATCGATGCGTGATTTGTTAACCTCGAAAACGCCACGAACAAGGCTTAACCTACATGTTAACCGAGAAAACCAAGCGAACGTGAAACAGGCAAAACAACGATTCTCCGTGTATTCTTCGAGCACATGTGAGGCAGATTGCTCCCGCGGCACCGATTTACGAAACGGCAATGACATTCCATGGCGTCGTAATTTTTCCAATCGGGTAACGTTTCAAATGTGGCCGCTACGTCGAGGCCTTGGCTATAGGCAGAAGTTAGCTCAAGGACGACGACCGCCTGTCTATTCGAATTTCATCATGGTGTGAAGCTAAGCAGGTGAATGTCAGCCCCTTACGCCTCATGCCCGTAATGAGACATATCTTTCAGGCATAACGCCGTGCTCAGTAAATGGACCTGATTTGGTTAAAAATAACGATTATGTAAAATGTTATCAGCGAACATGAAAAAGGGTAAGTAAATTCGTAGGCTGATAGACAGTCTTTAATTAAAGCTTTTAATGTTCTGTATTGTCATGATGGAGATAATTAGAGTGCAGACGTTTATGGATTGGGAAATTGAAAGATAATTGAAAATGTAAGATATCTAAAAAATCCCATGTAATATTTAGAAGATTTTAGTTGAATTTATAAATTTCAAATCCATTGAAATCCCTTTATTTTATTATTAATTAGTAATCCATTATTATTAAGTAATAGTAGTAGATTCATTTGAAGAACACATCTTTATTTTAATTTCCTAAATCTCTCATTTACGTGTACCATGCACAAATGCAAAATTATCGCATGTCGAATTAGCATAATCCCTTCCTTACTATCATACGCACTGGATGTTTAGATGCGAAGGAAGAAATCGTTTATCCATCTTTTTGATCTGGCTGACACCTTGTGTCGCAGTTCACGGTTGATTATGCATAAGGCTAATAACAAGGTAGAGAACGAGAGACTAGTAAGTGATCTAGCTTCCTCGTTTATCTTGGGCACTAAGTTATACAGGTGGCACCTGCATGCTTCAAAGCGGAGGAAACCGCAGGTCGTGGAACGTCTAGCCATCCAGAGGGAGCAGGTTAAGACACGAATATCCGACATATTAGTTTGGTGAGTCATGCGTCTTGTTCGATATGTTCCGGCTACCCCGTTCACCGCCTACACGAGCCGCCATATGAGTCATCGACGATTCTTGGAAACGAAGCGTACCGCTCGTTTGAAATTTTCGTCGCCAAGTGACGCTACTGCATACTTTGGAAACAGTACCTACAAAATCAACATCCTATAGATTCTGGCATTCGGTACTCGCTACTATTTCGTTTGCTCGGAAAATTCCGCTCCAATGACACTATCAATTGCGCAATATCATCCACACGTATTGCCAATAACAGAAGATAAGCGTCAGAATGACATTGCAATAGTATCTCAAGTCAGTCAGGGATGAAACAATTGCAGAATAATTATCGTATGAAAGGTACAGGGATGATAATAAGCGTTGTTAGTTAAACACGTTTTGTACGTCGTTTGAAAGATTCTTAGAATATGACTAAACGATAATCATAAGCGAGAGATTGGAAAAAATCTTAGTAATGTTCTATCTCCACATTCTTGAATATCAATTATATTTATCCTTTTTATAAATATATGTAAGCTTGAAGTTTTCAATATCAGATGAAAATTTTGTAGTCTAATGTTCCAATATTTTGTTTGATAAATGATTCGTTATCTTATACCAATTAGCATGTAGATTAGTGGAATCTTAACTGGCCATTCTTATCTGACCACCAATCCATAAAATTAATTCCTCGAAACGAGGTTCTGAATCCAATTGCACAATTGAGTTAATATTATTACTGATATTTTACGTTATAAATTTGGTAAGGGAAAAAATGAAGTTTAATAAGTGAATTTTACAAGCTACAAATTATTTGACGAAAAATTATAAAAATGTAAGAAGAAACCTATAATCTACAACTTATAACTTCTCAATTTACTACTGCAATTAATTTTCGTTTATTACGAAAAAAAAGGAAATACTTAAAATTTTCTAGAAATGTATTTCCATCGATAACCGACCAAATAGAGTTCTAATTTATCGCCAGTAAGGTTACAGTAGTAAAACCAAGCAAAACACTGTTTGCATAAACAGTACCCTGGCAAGCAGATCCCATTGATAGCACGAGTAGCGTCGGCCCTGGCACGAGCATCGCGAACGTGGCGCGGCGAACGTCGCTATTGGTAGCCTGGGAATAGCTAGTGACGTCATACTTGTTCGTGGAGCCTCGGCGTGTAAAGAAAGAGCGTGTCCAGGCAGATCGTTGAGCTAAGGATTGAACGTGCGCGAAGCTCGAGGTATTCCCCCACGGTATGAGTCATCGCGCGCAGTTTCACACAGTTTCGGGCAAAGGAACCTGCGATCCGTGTGTGCTGCTTTCGAGTTCTCCGTAACGAGGATCTTGAGCATCCCTACAGACGATCAAGAGAATAGATCCTTTTATAATAGAGGTTATAAAACCGCCGCGAACCCAATCGTCGACTTTTCCTTTCGCACTAAGGAAATACGACCAGGTAAAACCCGTTGCGCATCGACGACGTAAATATGAAGCTCGACGTGTCGGACGTGCTTTACGACAGCTCGAGCGTGTCCAGCGACAGCGGGACGTCACAAAGCTCCCGCGTCAGCCATGATTTTCTCGCCAGCATCGCGAATTCGACCATACTACCTAGCAACGTAAGTACCGGTTAAATACTCTCCTTTCTACATAGCTAGAAAATGTTAAAAGAAGTAGATTTCTCCGCGTAAATATGGCAACTTATGCAATGCTTAAGGTGTACGCTTATGTGTACGCGCGCTCGTACTTACGTATGTCTGATAAACAGCGTTCACGTGATTGGTCGAACGACGAATTTCTTTGAAATAAGTTATATAGTTGAATAGTAACAACATAGCGAATAAAAGTGTAGCAAACACATTATGTAACATAGTGACTTCCTCGAATGATTAAGCATTATTCAAAATAATTTAGCTGATTGTTGGCGATAGACCCGTAACCTATGGAGGAAACGGCCTTGTTAACTTTTCTGAAAAACACGTTCGCGTGTCCTGTCGAAACCTGACGATCTCGGAAAAAAATTATCGCATGTAGGTATTTTGAGTATTGTAAACACGATGAATTCGCCGATTTCGCGGAAGCAATTGATTCGTTGGAAATCAAAGCATAAGCGGAATACTTCTGTATTATCTGTGTACCTCTTTCGATTTCCAAAGATTGATTGTTTCCTTGATAGATTCGATTGAAAATTAAAGATAAGAAAGCAAACTCATATGGTACCATCGGCTGATAAAAATTCTCGATTAATTAGGAACGTACTTTACAATCTCTGAACGGTGCTATAGCCGTCCCGTCACACGAAGATGGTACACTTGGTACACACACCGAGATCTAAATTTATAAATCGCGTGGCGTCATCGCTATATAAACTGTTCAACGTAAAAACATGATTTTCAATTTTCGTAATTTCCGTTCGCTAGTTTGCAATAGCGATAAGAATCGTCTCGTAAATAGAACACAAATGATATTCGTACACGACAATAATAGCAATTTTTATGTCCATTCAGCAAGATGTGCATATTCAGATAAACAGCTTTCGTTCTTCTCCCAGCTGGCTAGGTACCCATTTAAGGCACACGCTACGTGTGTAAGTATCGCCAATAAACTTCCGAGTTACTATAGAATTAGCCAATGAAATGTTGTCTTATATATTGTCGTCCATTCACTGATCTCTACAAATGAATGGCTGCTATTGCAATACGGGAGCGTAACTGAATTGTTTGTCTGAACAAAATCATAGTCTTTTTTCTTTTCTATTGATATGTAGTTATTTTAAAGAAGTCACAATTATAGAATAAAGTAATTTTCGCACTATTTCAGTCCAAAAATTACAAATATCATCATAATATTACATATCACCATAGCAAAGCAGTATTAATTCTTTTATAAAAAAAAAAATTGTGTTTTTAGTTAAACATAAAATTAACTAGATCGACTAATTCTTATTCTACGCCGAGTAAAACAGGTTCCAGCATGAAACAGTACGAATACATTGACGTAGAATACTTTTATAGGCACGAACGATTACGTTAATTTCCATTTTCTTTCCCTTGCGTCACTCTTGGCAATAGAGGCGCGTATAAAAATTACGCGCGTTTTCCATGTTACATAAAACATTCATGTAAACAAGAAAAGCAAGGTATAATGCGGAAAAATATATATATAATAAGGCAAGGTAGCGATACGATATAATCCTTAAATAAAAAGATCGTAATATATTTCATGTCCCTGACTTTCGTCGAGGGTTGGACGCGCGCCCTCGTCCAGTTCCCCGTTTCACCCTACGTATAAATTCTGTGGTAGACGATGGTATTGATCTAGCATTTCCACTGGCATGGCTTCTGTTGTCCCCAACAGCTGTTTTATAAAGAAACCCGTACACGCTCGGGTTGTGATAGCGCGCGGTCATTTAAAAACACGCGCTACTGCATCGACATGCACAAACACGTGAACGCCGATCCCAAACACATGTAAAAGAACAACTATAGATCGTAGTGTATATTGCGCAGCATTAATATTATGAACAGATAGCCGACCGAGCTGCCAGCTGTTGTCACCTAATTATCTCTGTCGCCATTAGCGATAGGGTTCAGACGGTGAAATCGACCGATAAAATGCAAATAGTCATTCCGGAGAGACATTTGCGAGCTCTACCAAGGAAACTTTGCGCTACAACGTATGAAATATAATTCCGTTTACTGAGTTCGGGGAAAAAGGCTTCCTGCGTTGTTCCGTAAAAGGTCGACATACATGGCGGCCATGTTGAAATATTAGGTAGGAGAAAAAAAATCTGTACAATTTATAGAGTATTGTGATTAAGACGAGAGAAACTCGTGTTTTAATCAGGGCTCGTAGGATTTATCTTTTATTCCTTGCTGTTACGTATTGTTCGAGATCAAAGAAGGTCAGATTTGTCAGGCTAGCCCATGGGCGGCGACCATTTTTCGGGCAGTAGTCTTAGGGAGAAAGTAAGTATGTACATATCTGTCAATGGCCTAGATAAGCTCAGCTAGTAGAACACTGTCACCGTATCACTATCCATATACGTAATCTTTTTCTACATATTAAATCCTTATTTTTAAATATTTACTTCATAATGGAAGATTTTTCAATTTTCTTTGAAGAGCTGTTTATCGACAAATCGTCGATTAAAATTTCCTTCAAAAGAAGCCATAAAACGGTGAAATATCCTCGTCCAAAGGATTATCTGCTACGAACGCATCCAAGTATTCTTAGAACTCAAAGCTTTCGATTAGTCGGTGGAACGTGATGCGCGGGAATCGGTAAGCATTTGATCGGCAGCAAAGTCACGGAGGCATAATCTTGTTTCCTGGTGTTTCCCCCGTCCATTGTATCTCCTTTTATTCCCGATAGAGAATGCTCGGCGTTCGTGTTTTATCCGTGGCTAGAGTAAAAGCATGCGGATCCTTTGACACGTATATAAGAAGAAGAAGAAGACGAAGAATCGACTGATTCATGGCGGTGTTTCTGATTGCCTATTCCTCTTTGTTCCCTTAAATATTCAAAATACCGTCGTTGTCTTGTGTTTTGAGCACAACGAGTTTTCCCCATACAAAGGCCGATCAAGGCTTCCGCCTTTCCCTCGTATGATTTTCGGTGACTATTGTTATGCCACGCGTGCAGCTTGCGCCGATCTTTAGGTTTACCCACAAACATTCGATTAACCCCGCTGCTTCGGCCGCGTGCTCATTAAAATGTCTCTTTGTTCGCCGGGAGAACAAAGCCGCGATCCATTCGCGACGTCGATCTTCGGTTTTCTACTCCTTTGTGTCGTCGATGGTAAACGTTGCCGTAAGCGAGGTCATCGATTCTTCTTACTACGTGATTGACACGATTCACCGAGAATTGTCTTTAATCTGTTAACCAGGTTGTGTACTAATCAGAAGCCTGTGTAATTAAAAAATTAAAAATTAATAAAAATATATAGATTCCACTTAGGTAGGTTTAATGTGATGTGAAGACCAGATAAAAAAATGATCTTAAATTCATTTTTATTTGATTTTCTGTTTACCTCGAACGCTTTTATCAGAGGTGGTCTACAAGGGACAATTCAACATCAAAGAATTTCCACCTGCGATAAATAAAGCTAATTCCATTAAAATGACATTCATCTAGAATTAGTTAGATTAGTCCTATTGTAGTAGGTGGTTTACGATGTCTTCATAAAAATTGTTTTTTTCGATGGAGTGAGGACCTGGAAACAATTAAAAGACTATTTTAACGTTCTTTATAAGCAACTCGTATGTCTATGAATCACACTTTGTTGACACACTGCGCCTTTTGCCTGGAAAACTTTTCACCACAGCAGTCATATATCTATTAGGATTTGTATATACCGACGATACGCCTTAAGGAATCGATAATGGTTTTACGTCCTCAGCTGGTCAAAGGGCTACTTTCGCCCTGTTAAACTGTCGCACGTGGGACTACTTCTTAAAGGCGCAATACATGATCATAAATCACAATGTCTGCTTCATGGAGCTTAGTTCGAGACATACCTATTCGAACGACAATACCAATAGCATTCTTATTTATACACGGAATTTGCAGAAAGGTTACGAAACGCGTGAAGATTGGTAACCATTTATTCTTATTTTAAAACTGAACGTTTTTTTATTTTTTGACATCTGTAATGGAGAATGTAACAGGTTTCGAAAAGATAAAACTAGACCTGTAGCTACGTTCTAGAAGAAGATTTTCATTTTTTCTTTTTTATTAAATAAGTATTTTAGAAATAACATTTCTCAAGTTATGATTCGTATAAGATAACATAAAAGAAAAGAGTCTAAGTTTACCAGATAAATTTCCAAAAAGAAGAAAAATACAGTAATAAACAAATTTTATGAGCGTCTAACTCGAACGCGGCATGTTTTTGCGATAATATTTATAGCCTTTTTCCCATGCATCTTGCACACGGTAGCTCTGGCCACGTGTACTACTGTTTTCTCTTTTTAATTCGTGTACAAAGTGCGTTCACACGTACGTTGAACGTTGCTCCGAACCGACGCAGTTTGAGCCGAGTTCGTTGTACGTGTGTTTGTAACGAATATACGTATATCGAAATAAGAACAAAGAACCGTGCATGCACGAGGGAATTCCCGGTACCGAAATAGTAAGAAACGAAGTAGCGCGTGTGACAAACGATCTCGCATAAGTGACGACCACTCAACGTCGCGATAAGTTTACCAATTTTTGTTATTCTGCGATTCTCGAATCTGGAACTATAATAAAACCATGTATTTGGGATAAGAAATTGATGTATTACGTCGTAATATGTTAAACGTGTAAAAACAAGGAGAAATAGCAACTGCGAAAAGTCGAGCCTTGAGCTTGTTGTACTTACAATATAGTTACGGAGCAAATCCCCCCTGAGTAATTCCTTGACATATTTCCGCCGCTGTCATACATTGTGTCGAGCTGTTACACTTCGCATATTCTTCGCAATGTCGTTTCTGAAAGTGAGAAAACTGCGGTAATTATCGTTTTTAACTATTTATGCGCGTATCTTATTTACTAATGTATCAACTCGTTACCTTGTTATGTCTGATTCGTAGTGCAGATTACGGTTCATCTTTGTAATGGTAATATATACATGTTACTTAGGTATTTCTATAAAAAGCATGTTATATAGGGAAACAGATGCACGCATACGATACATTTATACGTATTTCTGACATATAATTAAGGATCAAAAGATAAATATATTACATTAGAATATCACTACTTTCAAACATTTCAATATTTTAAATCCATCATACAATTAAATGTAGTTCAAAGCGCATGCACGGGCCGCTCGAAATATCGTAACGCAGCAACTTGTTAAGACATTTTGAAATACTACTTTAAGCTGTCTTAATACATACGATAAACATAAAGCAGGGTATGTAATGTAAGGATGTAAGCCATTAAGTAAGACGAAAATCTTTCTGTTCGACTATTCGTTTCTCGAAATTATGCAAGTTAACGAGCTCACGTAATTACCTGGAAAAGGGGTTCTAGTTCTCAGTGGTGCGTTCCCTGATTCCGTGGAAATCGTCGCGATAGGAAGCCTCGGTGTAGACGAACACGTTGATTGGTCGCGCGCTATCGCACGAATCAGCAATCAAGATGGCGATGACGTCACGCGGTGGTTGCTCGACGCTGATTGGTGGGGGATCGAGCGGCTCTCTTTCTATATAGTTTCCAAGTTACACTGGCGGGCTCAGTTGAGATACGTAAGCAACACGCGCTAGTAGGTTTCAATACATAGCAAATCCGGTATTGCGTGATTGAACTTGTACGTGACAGTGACGAAAAGACAACCGGCGAGCATTCGTACGTGTCATTCTTCAACAAACGTTTAGTGGTACTTTGAACAGAACGTGATATCGGTGAACAGAAAGAAGGTGACCATTAGTTAGTGTTCTTGCCTCACGTTGAACGCGTACTTCTTGTAGAGGTGTAATTTTTTTAGAGTCGGAACCGGCGACTCTTCCTTTTTTTCCCGTAGTGAAGTTTTGAAAGCGAAACGCGCTCACAGATGACGCAACGTGTACCGAGCGCAGGCTTTGACGACACCATTATCGAAGATCACAATTACACCATGTTTTCCATGTATCCGCCGAATTCTAATCTATGTGACCCGTGGCAATCTAACAAATTGGATGCATTTACAGTAAGAGAAATTATTTTATATTAATCATTTATTTTTTTTTATAAATGTTTTGTTATACGTATAAAAGATTGAATCGTTGGTTTGGTAGAAGAGTGATACATTTCAAAGGTCGCTATCTACGTACCAGGATGGAAGTGTCACAATTGCTAACAATAAGAATAATATCATGATTCGAAATTCCGTCTTAATCTCTTTTTTGCAGTATTTGATATATATACAGTGACTGCAAAAAGTATTTACTATAGCATTTGTATTATATTTAGCCTGATAGTCTCGAAATTGGATTAGTTTTACGTTATTACAACATTTACTTGCTAATATCATGTTCTATTTCAACCTTGTTAATTTAAACCAATTCCCAAAAAAATTGCTTTTTTCGTTTGTTTTAAATCTCTAGTAAAGTTCTAGTAAATACTATTGTTATAATCAGAAACGTTTCACATAAATAAAACGTGGGAAACACTCGAATATGTTTTATGGTAGTACGAGCATCGATTGTGTGTACGTTTGGTCAAATGTCACGGTCAAAGGTCAATCGATTTTGTCGAACTAGAGTTATCCCTGAACTTAGTTGCCATTCACAGTAGTAATTTTACCTTCGTTATTATCGGAAGAAATTTATTGTCATTATTTGTTTAACACATTGAGTGTTATATTGTGAATTATCTTTTTCGAACAAAAAACGGCAAAGTTAGGAAGCAAAATTTAAACGTTGAAGGTAGGAACGAAATGGTAATTAAAAATTAAGTACAGAAGTGGACAGCGTTGTACGATGTTAGTGCAAAATTAATCCGATAAGTGTGGGCGTGCTGATAATGACATTTTGCTCAAAATTTCTAAGAAGTGTCGTTATCCCCTGAAACCCTTGATCGTCTCACCTGTCGAATTTTTAGGTTACTAAGAAACTTTCGCTTCTCAGAATACACGTACCTACAATTTTTGTTTTTCAAAACAAATTATTTATCGGTTACTCGAAAATATTTCTCTTTTATTCTCAAAATATATGTATAATATTTGTTTTATTTTTGCCTAAATTTTATATTTTATTTTTCAAAGTAATAAAGTAAAACATTAATTATTCAACTACATATTTAGCAATGAGAATATTTTTTCTTTCGCAACTTAGTCAATAATCTTTAGATTTTGAGGGATTTTGATTTCTAATGAACTATTGTTAATATGTATCGTTTATTAAAAAGACAGTATTTACGGAAAATTTGATTTAAGTCTAATAATTATTGGTAAAATTAGGAAAAATAAATTCCAAACTTTGGTATAGGTCGTGTGTTTACCGTAATGAGATTCTCATTTAGATAATAGACGAAGGCCATAGAAGCGTTTATTACGAGCAATTATTTGAAGTGTATTTGAGGTACTTTTGAGTCATGAGTAACTATATGTTGTCGCTAGAATCCTTTATCTGTTCCTAGGAATCGTGCCTAAACTATTAGCCAAAAATATCTTTAAGGAAACATTCGGCACACCTTTACTTATACCACAATAAGCTTAGTTTCGAAAAAACAGATTGTGAGGTTATTTTATTAATTGTGAAGCAATATTTCGAACGATCTTCGTTAGACAACACATTATTCTTATCGCATGAAATAAATTATCAAGGAAACACCCATTAGAATAATTATCTTATTCATTCAAATACCTACGCAATAATTTAGAAATTCGCACAGAATGCTATTGTATCGCGTATACAATTCTGACTCTTTCTCTCAAACCTGTTACATCTATTCGATTGTGTCATTGAACCTAAGTGGATTGTCTTGGAAGAAAAGCCTCATCCCCACCGATAAAATTTTAGCATTCTTTGTGCACATGATACCGAAGGAAAACAGTTAAATCTGACAGGAAGCCCGGAGTTAACGCTCGTTAACCCACCAATTAGAGGGTTTAGTTAAACGAAGGCAGGGTTAAGTTTAGCGAGAGCAATATAAACGGGTCATAAGGCAAGAGGTGTCATCCTGTCTCTTAGCCTCGCAACTAAGACGTTTGTTCTCAGCGTTGTAGTTCTTCGTCAGATACACACGATACGTTATCTAAGCATTATCACAGAGAAAGCTATCGAGTACTATGAAAAGATAGCTCTTATCTCTTCACGACTATTATTTCTTTTTTTGTAATTTTTTATTAGATAAAATTTGGATTTCCTTATCGATAAGAAAATGGTTGAATGTGCTTTGTAGAAGTCGTTTGGTTTAAATAAATTTTAATTCGTTGTACAGTAGCTTCAATCTAAAAATTCTTTAACACATTTTTAACAAATAGTCTCCAATACTAGTGGGAATATTGGCAAACGGCAGATGATGGTTATTCGTAATCAAAATCATTCAAGGGTCTGGAACATCGTGTGCTCTGTATTTCAGCGGCAAAGGTAGATTTTCTGTTTCGCACAACCTATAATGTATCTGATTGGTAATTAAACGAAGTTTTAACTTTAGGAATTGAAACTCGGTTAATGTAAAATGAGAGCTACTTAATGTAACATGAAACAGGATAAGGGAAAAGGAAAAGTGGCTTAAACGACTATATCCTTACAGCGTTCTTCATTCTTTCCTCGTTCATCGGCTGTTACGGAGAAGGAGAAAAAGGACGTCTGATGATCGTCGAGGCGTTCATTAAGAGACGAAGCAACGCCCATACAGGAATTTGCATGAAAATGCGCAAAAAGCGGAAGTTGTCGGTTTTTATTTTCGGACGGCTTACCTCAGTTCCGCGACGCGTATACGCGGAGATGAGTCATCGGGGTCTCGTGTAGTTTAACCAGCGATTTATGAATGAAAATCCGCGCACGTGTCGCGTGCCTGGCTCCCAGTGCCGCGACACGCGAGATCGCCCTCCATTATTATTCGCGACGCCTCGTAAACATGTCGATTATGCTGCATCGCTCCCGCAAGACATCATCCGGTACCAGGAAAAACGTTTAGAGACGCGATTTCTCGTAAATACGTGATACGGCTACGTTTCTGTCGCGGCGATTCTAACCATATTCTTCGTTTCTTTCCTTCATCTTTTTCTGTTTCGTTGTTCAACCTCTTGGCGCTACCGAGAATTATTATCCAACTGCGCTCTACAATAATACCAGGCAGATCAAATCCGGTATCGTTTGGTTTTAACATCAATGCAGTTAAGAGGTGTAATCTAGTTGAAATCGAGTTCGCTCAAAATAACTTGTACGGGTGATTTAGTACGAACAAGTGGTTAATAGTTGTTTAAGCATTCGAGTCATTTATTTAGAATTTCTTTATTTGGATTTCGATTTTTATTCCTACAATATGCTATAGTCGAATAGTCTCCTTGATACGAATCTGATCAGTAAGTGCGGATGTTTCTAGATTTATAGAAAATTTAAAGGTGTAAAAATTTGTAGAACGTGCATGTCGTAAAACAAATATGTAAAATATCCGAGGTGAAGCGGTTAGTGAGTAACATGAAACTCCACTTAGACTGCATTGCTCTAAATATATTTGCAATCATTATGTTACGAACGTACGTAAACATACGCGGTCTATTGAGTCGGAAAAGAAGAGAGATTCGTAACAAATCAACTGTATTATTACAAAACCATCGACAGATTCTTTTCCTCGCTCAAATTAACAGATAAAAGAAATCGCGTGGAAGAAATGTCTGCATTGCGAAACCGCGTTTAATGCGCCAAGCAAAAACGTGGTTTCGCAACACAGATCCAGCGTATTGTAGAAGCAAATTGCTCGAACCTGCCTTAGAAACTCGAACTTCGTAGGTTTCGTATGATTTTCACGATACTATGATCGTGGATTTTTATTATCTTTTTTTTCCTCCTTTTTCTTTTCTTTTTTTTTTTTTTATTACTTTTTTGTTCACGTGGATAGCGAGACGGTAATCCGGTGTAGTCGACCTCGAAAGGAGGTCGATTCCACGGAAAGATATCTTGCGTATGAGTGACGTCAATACGTTAACACTTTCCCCTTGAGAATGCCTCGAATGGATGGGGGATCTCTTCGATTTCAACGTCTCCACCTTCGACGTCCATCTACCTGTCCCGGGTTTTTCCCCTCGATTGCGAAATCTTCGATAGATTAGAGGCGATTTCGATGTTTCTTACGTTGTATCTGTTTTCTTTTTTACATCGCACGCCAACGGTTTTCTTTTTCCTCTGACGCAGGATGATTAATGAGTGGGAGCATTAGCTGACTAAAGTGCAGATGTTTTGAGTGATCAACGTCGATTTTTAGAATCTCATAATTGCGATGGAATTTTAGTTTGAATGTTCTATTTTGAAGAAATCTTTCTGCAAAGAATTTTTGTGGTAATTTTTTTGGTAATTAGGAGAAGTTTTGTTTTGTTTGGAATTTTTATTGGCAATTGTTTATCAAAGATATGGCGTGGTAATAGAAATAGGATCATACACGATTTTCAAAAATTTACTTCGCTGTATTTTAATTTACTTTGATGTCGTTTCTCT